TGCATTTCGCGCACTCGACACGCACGATCTCCGCAGAGGGTTGCGCGCACACCGGACAAATCGCACTCTCACCTGCATTTCGCGCACTCGACACGCACGATCTCCGCAGAGGGTTGCACTTTCGGTTGATGCTGTTCGTCCCGCACTCCGCCTTTAAGAGAGAATTTATAAAGTGGGGAAATGTTTTTTCATTAGGACATCTCCCGTGCTAGTTTTCCATACTCACACTACTCACACTTGCCTACTCATTGCATGCTTGCATAGTCATTGCATGCTTGCATGCTCACCCTTGCATATCATGCTTGCATACTTACACTTGCATACTTTGACACTGGCATACTTCGCACTTGGATGCTTTCGCTCTTCCAGTGTGTGTGTGTGTAAGTGTGAGTGTCGAAGTGTAAGTGTCGAAGTGTCAGTGTTCAAAGGATTTTCCGGAAGAACCCTTCGCAATGCTTTCGGGAAAAAGCTACTAGGGGCTCCTGGCCGTACTACTAGGAGCAAGGACGCTACTAGGGGCTCCTGGCATCGCTACTAGGAGCAAGAAGCTATTAGGGGCTCCTGGCCGTACTACTAGGAGCAAGGACGCCACTAGGGGCTCCTGGCATCGCTACTAGGGCAAGAAGCTGTAAGGGGCTCCTGGCCGTACTACTAGGAGCAAGGACGCCACTAGGGGCTCCTGGCATCGCTACTAGGAGCAAGAAGCTATTAGGGACTCCTGGCCGTACTAGATGCTACTAGGGGCTCCTGGCATCGCTACTAGGAGCAAGAAGCTGTTAGGGACTCCTGGCCGTACTAGATGCTACTAGGGGCTCCTGGCATCGCTACTAGGAGCAAGAAGCTGTTAGGGGCTCCTGGCCGTACTACTAGGAGCAAGGACGCTACTAGGGGCTCCTGGCATCGCTACTAGGAGCAAAAAGCTATTAGAAGCTATTCGGTTCCTCATGCCGCACCTGGGCGTCCGTTGGCTGCAGGCGGTACGAGGCGCCCAGCTGCACTCTCGAGCGGCTCGGGCGGTAACAAACGCCTAGGCCAAAAGAACATCAGGCATGCTCCAGTGTTCTGTAGGATTCTGGGCCGTTTGATTGTGGTTTGGGATATATACATCCTTCTATTTCAGGCTGCCATCAGTCACATCTAGCCGCATCTAGCCACTACTATGAGGTGAGGCTTCTCGAACTGTTTTGAATAAAAAGCAACGTGACCGATCTTCAATGCTCTGATGGGCTTCGCGCTTCATTTGTGCCATCTCAGCAGGATCCCTGAAGCGTAAAGTCCACTGAAGAATGCCAAGCTCTACAGAAAGGTGAGAATTCACAAACAAAACCAGCAAAGCTCAAGACTCAAGACCCTTCCAGCCTGGTTCTTTCGGCCGGCCATATTGTTGGGCTGCGAGTGCCTTGGTTCTGCCACTGGGGGACCCTTCATCTCCGAATACAGGCTTTCCAGGTCTGCTTTTTGAAGCATGAACACCCACTTGGATTGATGTTGGAGTTGGCCCTTTGGTGGGCCAACATCAATCTCAAGAAGGTAATTGTCATATGCTGTGTGCTGGCTCTTGCAAACCGATGGCCTTGTCAGTCTCAAGTTCTTGCACTGTACATTCAAGACTGGAAACTAAACTCACTGGATGTATCTGGATGTGTATATATATATAATTTGTTTATGAATCGATTAGCATGGCAGACTATAGCGGCAACTGGCAACTGGTGCAACTGGTGTCTGCAGGCACCAAAAAGCACTGCAAACTGCTACGAGCACGGACCGTACCAGTCATCTCACGTCCCGACCCTTCAGGACGTGGATTTTCTAAGCACGTTGCGACTCAAGGTCACTTCAGGATAAAGCTGACCTCAAATGTCAAAACCATTTTCTGGGTTGAAAAACAGCAACACTTCTTGGACTACGATGTGGAATCTTCTGATCATTCCCAACCATCTGCCTCAAGACGATCTATGGCCATGTTGATTGGATTTGCTTTTATTGTGCTGTGACCTGGCTGCATGCTCCAGCAACGATGCTAACTTCCAGGCTTCGGGCTGCTTGTCACCCTGCGCAGGAGAACCAAATTGACAAAACAAACATCGTGTCGGCAAAAAACTGGTCAAAGCCTCAAACAAATCAAACATGATCAGGATCTAGCACCAAACAATTTCTGCCCATGGTTTTTGCTATTCCCGATCCACAGCCTGCAAATGTGAGGGGTTCAATACGGAGTGCCTTCTAAGATGTGCTAAAGGAACCCACGTAATGATACAAAATAAGCACCAAACAAGCACCCCCGACCAGACTCGTCACCACACTCGCGAAACAGGACACTTCAACGGACGAAGCGCGTACGGTGCAGCGGCCACCTTTTGACAGCGCCCGTACGGTGCCTTTGCTCCAGCTGTCTGCTCGGGCGTGTGAGCTGATTCCTAAGCTAGTCAATATATGTCAATATGATTTGCGAAGTCTAGGCTTCATCTGATTCATCTTGGTATCTAGAAGTATTCATTGTAGCTAGTAGCTGTTTTCTTTGAATCATCAACTTCATGATGGTGAATGGCTCTCCTAGGTCGCAGATCAATGTCGCCTTCAGCGTCTCTCTGCGAATTTGCAGATGTTTACGCAGAATTGTCAGGCACTTCGCAGAGACGGCGCCAGACTGAGCTCTCAGTCGGCTGGAAAAGTGGAGACCTTGTGAGCCAATCCTAGTGCTTTGAGCTGTACGAAAAATCGACAACTGGTGTAACCATGTGTAACATGTGGCTCTGGGCCATGTGGATCGTCAGCTCTGGGCATCACAAAGCTCCAAAATATGGAACATCCTCCCACACCTTGGTTCCAAAGACTTGCCGAGTGGATTCTTGGAATCATGTACAGGCCCTTGTGGTGGTCTTGTGTGCAAACCAAGCCTGGCATAGCAACTAAGCTGCCAAATTGTACATCCTGCACTCTGGGCTCTCCCGACAGTTTTTTCTAATGAGATAAGTACTTGAAAGAAAAGTCATTATGAATGTCTGTATAAACATAATCTTCATTACAAACTAAAAGTTGTGTAATCGTCTGACTAAGCTTTGAAAGCTGAAAGTAATTGAGGTAGTGGTGGACATGAGATACACACAAACACTGTGGTCTGTGGTTCCGAGCTTTCAGCATGGTCATCTCCATTTATGCCAGCAAGCTCGCGATGAGACTCTTCACCTGTAATTAATCAATTCGGGGCCAATGCAAACATGTTCAACGGGTTGTAGGATCGTGACCGGTCTTGTTGGTGCCTCCACAAAGAGGCCCGGCCTCATCCACGTCCACGTGCATGGAAATCACAGCCTTGTCCTCCGTCATGGGGTCCTTTTTGCTTCCAGGCGAGCAAACTTGGTTTCGCATAGTGCCTCTCCGTGTCTAGTGTTCCCATGAGTGGGATACCACTCCGGCTGTGGAGACACCCCCAAACCCTGGTAGATGAACTGCTGAAGGGAATTGAACAATCCAGAGGTAGCGGAGCTGCTTGATTTTGAGGTCGTCGCAGCTTTTGACCATCCGATCGATCGAACTATAAAAAAAGCACTCCGGTCCAGCGCCAACTGATGATCATACTCATTGGGCATCACCTCATGGATGCTGCAAGTGCCACAAAATGCCACAAAACATGACATCCCTGAGGCTAGAGGTCTGATGAGGACTGTAGGATCTACCACGAAACGGTTCTTCTCCACAATTCAAAGCAAAAAGCATCTGGGTCATCCTGAGACCCCAAATTGAGTGTCTCCCGATGGAAGAATGCGCTTCTGCCTGCCTTGTCGCCAATAGGCAAGTAGGTGAAGTTCAGAGCTGCAGCCAAATCCCAAAAGTGGTAGTCCTGCATCTTGAAGGGCACCTGCTCGGCTAGGGTTGTGAGGATCCATGGCAACTCAGCAGGAAGTTCACAAAAGAGATAGACAAGCGCCAATCTGCCCAAACAGGGTTTTTGCGTACTGTTGGCGATGACCAAAGGCGTGCTGTGTTTTCTTTGCAAAAGGCGTGCTGTGCGCCACGACCTCTCTGCGTTCGATACATGGATACATGAGGACAGGCAAAATCTCCAGGCCTGAGGAACAATCTCCACAACCTTCATACCATCAGGCGCAAAAAGCATATTGGCCATGTTGGCGCCATGTGCGCCAACCAAGACCTGAGCTGTTGGACCCGTCTGAAGGTCTCAACGCCAGCATATACTGACTAGGTCAGTCCAGTTGCACAGCTGGCAGTGTGTTGATCCTATGCAATCCTTCTCCAAAATGCATCGACACGAAGCATGCGATCAACGACCAAAGATGCACTCAACAATCCTAAACGACGTGACATAACCCTATGGTGCCTCAGCGCGCGAAAGCGTCTGAAGGGTATGTAGAAAGTTCTCTGGATCGGGAGTGACTACCTGGAAGCCGTCAAAGCCCATGAGACAAGAACTCATCGCTATAGTTAAGTTTCCCTAAAAATCTAGGAACCAAATGAATAGTGCGAGCGCTGTCCTGCGTCTTAGCCAGCAGCTACTCAAGCTACTAGCTACCTAGCTACTAGCTACCTACCTAGCTAACCTACCTCACCTCTACACGGCCTACCTTATCCCCCCCTTCGTTAAAAAAGAAACAAATACAGTAATGGCTATCACGACGAATCCGTCACCAAGCTCACTTGCATCCCCACCTCCACAGGTCTGCCCAAGGTCTTCAGGGCCTTGACACCGTGACTGCAAGGCCACGCGACAAACAATAGCATGCCACGCTACGAGTAGCACGTGTTTTGTGATGTTCGGTCGTGTCTTTTTCCAGGCGATCGTCTAGCCACTGTATGAAGTGGCAAGATTGAGACAACTTGAGGCGTGGATGTCGGTCAAACACCGTTGTGAAACTTGAGCCGTTCACATTCCATCAAACGTCATGTCCCCATATGTCGCCCCTCTGGATTGAATCCTCACCATCGCTCGGTCAGATCTGGCCTGAACCATCTCGTCCTCGTTTCCCAGCGCCCGAGCACTGTGACCTCTGGACAACACCTGAACGTCTGGGGCAACGCACCGATTCCATAAATAGCGAATGCCCAACCTATGATGAATATATATATATATATATATGGATGGTTGTGTCCTTTGAACTTACAGTAAATGTCAATGAGCGCCCAAATGTGCTTCCAACTGTCTCTGGGTCTGTGAGGAAGTTTGCACTGCGCTATTTCACCCCTCCCAAACTTGTCCATTGAGCTTCAGACGACTATGTGCCCTTGCCTCTTGAAGGCACGGCAAGGCCTTGCCATGCCACGAACTGAGGATCGATCATACACCAAGGCAAATGTTTGCATGTCAGTGTTGTCTTTCAGGGTTCAAAGGATGAAACACGCTTTTTGCAACACTGCACTCCAACTGCGACCTTTCAACAAGCCCAGTCAGGGAGATTGCTCCAAACGAAAATCGTTCGGTGGGCCTGAACTCCTCCATCCAGTCATCTGTGGCCAACAAGTTCCGACGGAACTCTGCCAGGTATGGGACCTGATTTGCCAAAAAGCCGCTTGGAACCGCTCATAGAAATGCATGTTGGTCAACAAACGCCAGCAGATTGTATTTCTTTCTCAACTCACAAAACGGGTAGAGATTAAGGAGGTCTGACTCTTGCTCGGATTTGCACGCTCTCTGCAATGATGCTTTTCCAGGGATGTGGAATGACCGTTTTCAATGTCGAACAGGAGTCCTGGCACTAACCAATGGAGTATCTTATTCAGTCTGGCATGACTCAGGCTTCGGCGGAGAATTCAAAGCGCGGATACTGCGGCCTGGGGAGATGTACAATACCCAGATTTGCTCAAACCCTAGGAGAACAAAGCTAGCTTAATCATTGCCAGCTGAATCGCTAAGCACAGCTTCGGTGGTTTCACATCCATCTGCAGTTTGGAACTCTGAGAATTACAGTAACATCCACCATACAAGCACGGTAGATGCTGCGCAGCCTCGTTGAAAGGTCGAAGTGGATTTCTGGTGCACAAAAGCTAAAGGCCTGGCAAAACCACTGGTCCAAACAGAAAGACCATGTGTCTAATGCGTAAAGATGCGTCAAGCAAGTATCCAGAAGTTTTTTTCATGATGTTTCATGCATCGTCTCTTGAGGCACTAACGCACTAAGGTCCCACCAGTTCAAACCACAAGCCAAAGATCCTGAATTGATGTGGGATGAGGTGGATATATAATTATGATGCGCATATGAGATACTATGAATCTATAAGCCATCATCTTCCAAGCCTGTTTCAAAGGTGGGTCGGCTGGCGGCCGCAGGACGTTGGTCTCAACGCCCAAGACAGACCTTGCAGTTCTGTGAAGCTCTGTGAACACAGAACAAACAGGGTTCCGACTAAGCTCTGCTTGTGGTAGGAACATGATGTCTGCATAATCTTGAACACAAAGTTTGAGTTGAGTCGTACTCCAACTGGCAGTAGTTGCTGCTGTCAGTTGCAACTGGCTTGATCGGGCGGGTTTGTTGCGAAAGGTCCGAAAGCTTGTTGCTCATTCTGAGCATGCAACAAGACTTGCGCCACGTAGTGATGCCCAGCATGCAAAAACAACTGGCCACCACGGTCGGGCTGTTCCAACAATGTGACTGAGCTGCTCAACGCTCCCTACGTGTCCTTGCAACCTTTACGACAACAGGGGTGACTCATGGCCCAACCAAATCCTTGCATCAGCTTGCAGTCTCCAATCTCTCTCTCTCTCACAAGCATGGGCTGGAAGCATCCTAATAGACCGTCCTTCATCGAAGGAGAAGTTGTTTCTTTTGCTTTTGGGATCATCCGATGCCAAGACAGTTTTGTGCCAAACTTCACCGGACAGCACGCACGCCCGGCCCTTTTTGACTCAGGCACTTGCAACCAAAGGTGATGAGTGAAAGGCAGAATGGTATTTGGTGAATTTGTGTGATTTGTTGCACCATATTGCCTGACAGGGGATCCAGCGGCCTGCTTCCCAGTCGTGGAAAGCGATATGGTGGCGGCTGCCTTCCTCACCATCCCAGTGTCTCGATTTGCCAGTGTAATGTCCAACTCGCCC